CCTATTTATAGTATACTCCTCCACCAATTATAGCTTTATTGTTAAGGATAGTAGTGTTTTTTAAAGATAAATTTGCATTTTATAAGCTTATAGCTCCACCAGTTGATAAGTAGGCTTAATTTTCTAAAAAAGTACTATCTTATATTACAGCATTTCCAATTTGTATCATATTTATAATGCTTATGGAACCTCCATTTTCTTTTAAGCACTAATTTAATTAGAACAGAGAATTTAAAATCTAAATATTTTAGTTTTCTACTGAATAAATTGATCCACCAAACCCATTTGCATTTATATTGTTTTGAAATTTACTATCAGTTATAATAACATTCTTAGAATTTTTTATTAATAAAATAGATGAGCTGATGCTATCAAAAACATTTATATTTTAAGCTTTTAGTGCTTATATTTTTAAATTATCCAGACTTTCTAATTCAATCAAAGAATTTTATATTGTAAAGTTTGTAATCTAAAAAGATGATATTAAAGTATATCCACTAAATCCTAACTAATTCATCGATAAAAGTGTTACATTGCTATTATTAGTATTTAGATCTTAGATAATGCAATTATTATATTTTGAAATAAGTAAAATTGCTTATAAATTTGTTTGCTAAACTTGATTATTAATAACTCTTGAATTAAATATTTAAATCTTCTTAATATTTAACTGTCCAGCAATAATAGTGAAACAGTTTGTTATTATGTCTAGCTAATATATATATATGCCTGAAATTTAAATTATATTTACTTCAATTTCTAAGGTAATATTTGTAGAATTAGTCAAAGTGATATTTTATAAAGAGGAATTTCTAGATAAATATGGTGTATCGTCATAAATATAAGGCTATATCTATATTAGTTGAATAGAATTTGAATTATCTACACTCAGAGCCTAGATTTAAACTATTTTTGATCCTAATACGTTTAAAATTTATGAAAACTGTACCTATGAGACTGTAAAATTTGAGATACTTATATTTTTAGAAAGTAATATTTAGAGAGCTTGTATCTAACTTGATAGAGATAGAGAGAAATTAGATATACTGACATTTTAATTATTATCTATTTCAAAAATATTACATGAATTGCATTTAGAAATCTTAATTTGATTTATAATTACATTGGTGTTATTAATTAACATAAAAAGAGAATTCAATGTTTATATGTTTGTTATTTCCACTTATTCAATTAATACTAATTGACAATTTTGAATTATAACTTAATTTTATCCTAAATTTTAATCGTTGATTGCTAAATTTTACAAAAGAACTTTATCATAATTTTGTAATTTAATAAATTTTTAAATATTTAATGTAACATTAAACATTTAAAAGTATTTCATTTATTAATTTTCATTTAAGCTTAAATTAGTTTAAATTATTAAGTTCATATTCTTCAAATAAAAGTTTTAAATAAATTCAGAGTAAATACCTATATCTGACCAACAAATATTTGTTAATTGTGAATCAGATTTACTTATTAATGTAATCTAAAAATTCTAGTCAAGATTATTGCTATTAATTTCTTTAAGTTCAATATTTTGCAAACATTATCCCTCTGAATACTGTATCTCTATTTGTTTAAGCTTCTAACTCGAACTTTATAAAGATGTTAAACTTTAAATAAGTGAAATATCTGTATAAATTTTTTCTAAGGTTCTGTTTTGTTACTGAATATTGATGAAGCAGGCGCTATTTTATTATAAGGCTATATTAACAAACTATATGCTATCATAAGAACTAAATAATAGTTTCAAATATGCTTATTGGTTGTCATCTGTTGTAAACTACATATTCTAAAGCTATTAATTATTTTAATTAAGTTAATATATGAGCTGATAGTTTAATTAAAAATCTAACTAGATCAACTAAATACTATTTTTACTCATTATTATGAAGTAATTATTTTACATAGTATTTATAAAGTTTTATACTTCTTTTATACCTGAATTAATTATTGGAAATTATTATTTAAAACTTAGACCATTGTATATGATAATATCATTTGGGCAGATAGAATACACATAATTAGAATCAAATGATATTTTTGCTTATTTCAAGCAAGCATTTTAAATACTGGTTATTAAAGTTAAATTATAGGAAAATACTAGAGTTAGACTTTTGTTATTCACTAAATATATCAATTTTCTAAAAGGATCACACACTAAGTTGGTGGTTTTAGAGTATGGAAT